TCTGATTAAAAATGCCAGCAATTTTGTTCTTTTCTTTTTTTTTTGTCTAAGCTCAACCATAATTGAGAAATTTTGTTTGTTTTGTCCGGATAATTTAGATCAGCACTGCACAACTACCCATTTCGCACAAACATCAATTTAAGAGGACACATTGCAGACGTACAAAAACTTTGATTATTATCTGATCATTACTAAATTTGGGGCATCTAAAATTGATTCTGCCAATTTTGTAGTTTGAGCTGGTCTGGTCGCGGAGCCTTTCCAGAAGATGGCTACTTGTGATGTGAATTGAGTAAATTGTGTTTGAATCAAATTCGAATCATGATGATTGATTGAACTTGTGAATGACAGTCATCTTTAGGTTAGCTTGGAATTAGCTCACTTGTTTTATTTGCGAAGGCTATTGTTCCTGCAACCATCCTGGTTTTGCTTTAAAAATTTTGTTTACCGTTCAAGAAATCATGATAGGAACTTTGAGAGAAAGCAAATTGGCACCTAATTTCTCGTTCTTTTAATATATTTAACCGTAATATATTCATGACTCATGGGGTGGTGATTCATCCCTAGAGCTTGAGAGATTGTGTTAACGAATTTTTTTTTTAATTGTGAGGGAGAAGGATATTCAGTTTCTTGATAACAATGGGAGATAAAGAACGATTACATAAGGTTCGATCTTCTTTACAAATTGTTTTTACCATTTCTGGCATGCTACCCAAACTCCAAATTTTATCTTTTTTCTATTGCCTTAAATGGAGTTGGTAAACGGTGATTTTCCCTGACGAGCCATTAATCCATCATGCGGTTTCTAGTGGAAACTGGATTATGGGCGAAATTGGTGTTCTCATACTGAAGTTCCCCAGGGGCTATAGTTTGGAGGAAAGTTTATTGACGTAGAATGAAAATAATTGGAATCGCAAAAAAAATTTGAAGGGATTTTTTCCCGACTACCGCCCTCAAGGATTCAATTTGCAATTCAACAATCGAAAAACTTTAGTTGATTATCTACAACCCAAATCTGACCAGTTATAAATGAAGCATTAGCGAAAACCAGATGATGAAGAAATTTAAGGAACAAAAATGATCTAGGTTTGACTATCAAAAATTTTCAGTATTTTTCATTTTCACCCTACACTCAAAAGGGTTCATCTGGTTTATTTAAAAACAAAAAAGGAATGAAGACGATAAAAAAAGGTGTTACTAATATGAATTTAAAGTATGAAATATCTACTTTGCTTGTCTGACTTCGGTTTTTTCTTAATTAGAGCTAAGTTTTTTTTGGAAAAACATGATTTAAAATAAGAATTTGTTATTTGGTCGAGCGTAACTTCCGCTAAAACATTTTTTTCTGTTTCTGTACGATTCTATTTTAATTGAAAAAAGATATCCTGGCTACTTTTGGGAAATTTGACGTATTGCGAGAACAAGGCATGGCATACCCTTTTGCGCCTGAAGTCTGCTAGCCTTAATGAGTTGATGCTACAAGAAAGGATGATTAAAATTACTATAGGTCTGTAACAGTTTGAAATTTCGAAACTGTGGTTGTAATCTCAACGGTCACATAGGACTGATGAAACCACAACAACAAAAATTTTTGCCATTTTTCGCAACTTCGCCTAATTGGTAATCTTAAATTACCTAAAATCTTACAAAATTGGTTACATTTGAACTATTAATTTTTTTATTTGAGCAAAGTTATTTAATTAAAAACAGAAAACAAAGTCTAAGCTTGGGGGCATTTTATCGAAAGGTAAAACTTGAGCAAATTGAAACCCAACAACCCATTTAAATGATCCATGTAGGGTCCAGGTCTGAGTGTGGCCTTGAGCAGGTCTGCATTTGTGACAAAACCTATACCTGCCTCAGTCCTGTTTCAGACATGTCCAAGTCCAAATGAAACATGGACCATGTCTGCACAAGATCTGAAATAAGCAAAAATTTTATGTAGCTTAGATCTGATTTTCAATCCACTTTCTGTGGGTAAATCCAATTTCCGTGGGTGAATGCTGATGAAAACAAAGATAGCCGGTTACTCTGCAAGTAGCACATATAGTTCCGACCATAGTCTTAAAAATACAACAAAGTTTGTTCAAATTATTGTCTTTTTTTTCGGCGTGGTATGATAAAAAGAGCTGAACAAAAAAAAGGAGACTATGTATATTATTTTCAAGTGTTACATTTTTTAGAATTATAGAAAGTTTTGATTCCAAAAAATGCAGTAAAATACTCGAAGTATACTAACATTAGTCAAGTAAAACTAAGTTTTTACGTTTTAAATCTAGCTACTGTAAGCTTTTAAGCAGTTAAATCAAGACTTCTCGCTCGCTTTAATCGCTCGAAATTTTGCACCGGTTTTTCTGGACACGGAGAAAAAGTTTTTGCAATTTTTAAATGTGGTTCGTATCATGACTGTTAGGGCTTTAAAATGATATATCACTCAACCCAGTCCGATGATTACTTGTGGTACCTGATTATGCTGAAAACTAAAACACACCCGAATACAAGTTCTTCCCCATTTTCAATGGCCGTGAAAAAAAAATCCTTCTATTCTCCTGCTTGAAAGCCTGAAAGTTTGACTGAGTCCTGATAATAAGTACAACAATGAGGTCATAACAAAAACTGAGCTTTCTTCCGCCAAACTACCAATTGTAGTTCACAACAATGGACACGCTTTTTTTTGTATTTTATTTTTTGAATTAGAATAGCCTTGTCAACACCACTGATAGCCTTGTCAATAAAAACAATTTTGCAATTTAAGTGCCAATTTTTTAATAAAAAAATTCAAATTTTTTTTGTTCATATCTTTTTCCACACCACGCAGAAAAAAAGACACTAATTGTAAATGTTGTAAAATGATTAATCAATAGACTCATAATAAAATCAATTGCAAAAGAAAACAAGAAAGCCGATCATTGTGCAAGTAGAACTAAATGCTCCAAACACAGAAATTGTAGCAAAAAAAAACAGAAGCAACATAAAAAAAAACATTTTTTTGGGGGATTTCAAAATGTATCAACTTTTTCAATTTTTTTCAAGAATTTTTTTCCTTCTTTTTATGTTATGATTTTCAAATGTATAAAGAACCAACAGAAAATGTGAAAAGAACAAAAATCCTTATATGATGACAATTATGAACTTCAAATAAAAAAGTCTGTATGCCTTAAATTAAGGTTAGATAGATTATATAATTATGATCAGAAAGGTTGCTGAGCACTTCTTGCTGCGTCCAATTCCTTTCTGTTTACTACTAACCCTCTTTTCAGTGTTTTATAGAATCTCAAAAAAGTTTCTGATTGACTGCGAAAAGAGGTTGCAAAAAATAAAATTTCACTTTGATAATGAGCCCCATACACTTCAGAAATCAGCCCCTGCTGCAGACTATTTTTTTTGGCTGCGGAACTTCCTACTAAACTTCTCTGCGAAATATATCTGATGACTGTAACGTCAAAAATAAGATGTCAAGCTATTGCTTGCAACTCACGGAAAAAATGATGGGCCAAGTGAACTATCTCCCCCTTGAATCAAATAGGAGATAGTTCACTTTTTTTTTCATTTTCAGGCAATCAGATTTGAGCATTATACATGTGCAGGCCTTACTGTTTGATTTTAGGGGGGAGATTGCTCACTAGGTCTATTTAGGAGGGGGGATTGTTTATATGGGCCAAATCAATTAGCAGAGTAAAATACAAAAAAGTGGTTATTCAAAAGTTTTTCTAGCAGTTTCTTAGTTAACTGGAGCACATGGTGTACGCGGCTTACAAGATTCTTTGGTAGTTATTTCAGTCGAAGAAGTAAGTACCTAAATAATTCTTCTTGGAGAAATGAGTAAATCAAAAAGTGATGAAGATCACATTTTTATTCTTTTAATATATTGAATTCATTATTTTTCATTGATACACATTGAGGGATTATTCACAGTACCTGAAAATAGCACAATCTGAGAGGCTCGTTGGTATACGAAATAAATGTAAGGCGGTTTCACACGAAAACTGATAAGGGGCGCAGGAATTAAGGAGCAGGAATTGAGTCTCATACTGCATATGGTTAAAGCTGCAGCTTCCGTTCCATTTTCGTCTATGTCAACATAGCACATCTGTTTCACTTCACTCACCCAAATTGGCTTCGTTCTGGAGAAAATTAAAAAAAAATCAATTTCATTTTGTTCAGTAAGAAACTTTTACAAAACTTTAGGATTAAAAATGCGTTATTATTTATATCAAACATTAAAAGGTCAGAGTTTTACCACGTTGCCAGACACTAGCTTGAAATCAGAGGCTATTGTCTTAAGATAAAGGGCCCATTTCCTAGTCTTTAAAATGTTCACACGACATTAAAGAAAAATGTCTTTATTAAAAAGTGACTCTAATACTAGGACCACATTTCAGGAAAATTTTAGATTTGAACTAACATTCCTTTTTCAAACACTAGTCTCAATTTAGTTATTTAGCCATTAACGGATGTCATGCAGTGAGGTAAACACGTAGTTTATGTTTTTGACCAATAATCAGAAGAAAAAATGTCTCCAGCTAGGCGAATAAGTAAAATTGTCCCTGTCATTTTTTTTTAAAAAGGAAAAAAAAGACAAAGAGATTTAAACGTCCAGCCTTTTTGAAGCCCAGCAAAAGACAGTCAGTCGTATGATACCTTCAAATCTGACAACTTGATAGCATAGAAAAAATGTAGCATGTCCTTGAAAGGAGAAAAATTTGAAATGTATCCGATAGAATAAATGCTTATGAGGTTTGGACATAACGTTAGTTGGCAAAAAAAACTTGATTCAAAGATAGACCGTCAGAGTCTGCAGAGAAATCATTTTTTCAAAATGGTTGTTATCCAGTTGGATATAAGAAGGAAACCCATTGAATGGATTAGATGTCGTGCTTACTAAAACTTGAACATAAACCATAGTATTATATTTACTTAGCCTCTTGATGCTAGTTATGATAACCAGTTGGTATAAATACATAAATTATAGAAGTCTGATATAAATACGTAACTATTAAATTTAATAAGTTATGTACTACTTATTATGAGTTTCTGACACTCACATGCTTTCGAGTTCATATCCAAAAACCATCAGACAACAGCTTAACCAAATGAATTTAAGTTCTTTTAACTCGTCTCATTTTCTTACGCGAGAATTAGAATCTCGATTCGGTTTACATATCCTAATCAATCCGTGGGTATAACACAGCGCAGCCAGCAACTACCAAAAACCCACTAGGAATCACTCCGTTCTGGTAAAAAGCCTCGCTGGAACCCTTGATCGAGTGGGACAAATGGAACCAAAAATTATTCCTCGGCATTATAGCTAAAGACGGAACAAACCTACAAAAGCTATTGCAAAACCCTCTACCTGTACGAAAGTCCCAGGAACCGGGGTATGAACTACCAATAGAGGGGGAAACTAACGCGCAAATACGAGATCGCAATCTAAGAAATTGAGAAAAGCGATGATATGGGAGAACCAATGTGCACATTTGGACAACCTCGGTCCAACAGTAGACGGTGGCCCGTGGGAGGAAGCAGACATCAAATGCCGAAGATACATATACCTTTGTTTGGGAGCCGAGTGTCAAAGAAAAGAAACACAATACTACCCGGATCTAAAGAATCAGGAAATTACGACCAATGATTTCTGGGAGAGACTAAGAAGACTGTTTGTAAAGAAAAGAAACGTTACCTTCGATAGATACGAAGCCTTCACATGGAAACAAGAGAAGACAGAAACAATCGAGCAATACCACTGTAGCCTAACGGAACTCCTGATAAAATGGAACAGCAACTACTCAACAGCAACTACTCAAATGACAACCATGAAAACAGAACCAGTTCCAGAGGAGAGGAAACAACAATAATCGTTACCCGGTCCGGGGGGACGAGGAAAACAACCACAGCAACAGCGGGGAAACCTCTAACGACAGCCAACAAAGCAAAAACAACAAAGCTTCAAATGCGGCAACCCTTTTGGCCCCTATAGCAGCCTATGTTAACTATTTGCAGGCAGGTGATCTCATCGCAGGTTTGGAGCTCGTCCTTTGATTCGACAACAAATTCAATCCAATTCGAAGCAAACCAGTTGGTCAAATCGGAGAAACCGATCTAAAGTGACATTTATTAAGGGTTTTGGTTTTGATTGGACCAAACAGCCTAATCTTTATCGCAGATATGATGTCACCCACGTCGTTTATTAGTGAAAACACGGCACCTCTTATTACAGCGACCGTAAAATCAACCAAACGAATACAAACAAATGAGAACCACGAAGTGAATAGAATGGTCTGCTATAATGGTTACAAAATCCCATCGTTTGGAAGAATTATTGTACCTATTGAATCAGGGGGATGGACAGTCAACACAGCCTCACTGATCGTGGTAGATGACAAGCGAGCCAAGATCCTGGGAAGTAACATCCTATCCTTGATCGGAGTGCAGCTGCTGCAACAAAAACCAGCTGATTAATCAGTGAAACTTATTTCGGATGATACAAATTCTTCAGATTCAAAAATCCCCTGCTGGATAAGATCTACATATCCAGGGTTATGCACGAGGATAGGTAGATCAAGAAACCACATGGTCCACACAAATTTTTTGACTGAATTCAAAGCTTTGCTACAAAAAGGCAGGAGAATTCCCATACACATCCAAGAAAAGGTGGAACAAGAAATAAGATCCCTTATAGATCAAGGACACATAATAAAAATGGAAAATGTTTTGATCAACAATTTATAAGCCCAATCGTAATTACAGTTTAAAAAGACCAATCCATTAAGTTGGCAATGGATTCAAAACAAAATAACAAAATGATACACAATAATAAGTATCAGATGCCCAACATAGACGTTCTGATTGACAATGTGGCTCAATCAGCACAAAAGGGCCACATCAAGCCGGGCATCACACTTTTTTTAACAATCGATCTTAGTTATGCCTTTAGTCAACTAAAACTCGATGAGACTACACGGGAACAATGTAACTTTAGTATAATCGTGTTGCAGGCCACAGAAACATATCAGTTCCAAACAAGTTTCTACTGCCTAACTGATATGCCTGTCGAATTCCAGAAGGCCACCTACCTAACTTTGAATAACGAGAAAGATACATTTGCATTTTTGGATGATATATTAATTATATCCCACGGTACAAAAGAAGATCACATGAGTAAACTGAAAAAGGTCCTGGACAATCTGGATGCCGCGAATATGGCAATATCAGAGAAGAAAAGTAAATTCGGATGGATGCAAACAAGTTGAATGGTTGGGCTTTGTTATCAATGAATATGGCACAATTCCGATGCAGAAGAAAACTGAAGCAATCTTGCAGCTAAAACATCCAAAAAATTTTAAACAGTTAAAACGCTTCGTGGGATCGATACGCCATTTAAATAAATGTAACCCCAATTTAGCACAATAATGCACGCCGCTACGTCCATTGCTGTCCTACGGCGAATAAATACCATTTTACATGGGACGACAGTCATGAAATGGCTTTTAAAAGCATTCTAGACGCAGTTCATGACATAACCGAAAATCGTCATTTCGTGAGCGGTCGAGAAAAGTAAATAAATTGTGACGGAAATCGGGACGGTAATGAGTGCGCGTTAGAACAGGAAATTCCGGATGGTTGGGCTACCTTTGCCAATGCCTCACGTTTTTTCAATACATTTAGGAATAAATATTCAGTAAACGAATCCGAACTGCTTTCGGCAGTTTGGGCAATAAAGCATTTCAAATATTACCTATATGGTAGAAGATTCACATTAATTACTGACCATCAAGTTTTAATTAGCGCTCTAGAATGCAACAAAAATCATAAAATCTACCAAAGTAGGCTTACCAGATGGATAAATCGCTTACTACCATTCGATTTCGATATCCGACACTAAGCGGGTAGTGAAATGGGGTTATATGATTATGTTTCCAGACGAAAGACCTTACAACCAGTGACACAACCTACCAAGTTGTACCATCCGAAGACAGCCGATCACTTAGGAGAGTGGATAATGATAAACTCGATCAATGTTGTCAAACAATTCAGGAAGAAACCCCGCAAACTTGCCTAGTTACATCAACGGCAGAAGAAGAGGACGTACCAATGTACGGAAAACATTATAAAAAATCTTCGATAGTAACTTCATAGCTTCGCCATCAAGAAGGACCGGAGCCTTAAACGACTACTAAACATGATACGATCACAAAAATGGGAGAAACTCAAATCAAGCTACTGCCCTTACTTCAATAACGTCAGAGACAGACTATCAGTGAGGGATGGAATACTACTACATGATGACAGGGCAATCATACCTAAACAACTTCGCATACCTAAACCCGTGGTATTCGTATCTGCACCGGGATATTGTGGCCACGGCTCAAAACTGCAAGGAGTGCCAACAAAAAGGTAAAAAACCTTGAGGTCATTTCAGGAAAACAACAATTCACGGCGTTAAACGGGGTAGTAGAACCCAACGAAGTTGGATTTCGCAGGGCCGCTGCCAGACGAAAATAATAAGAGGTCTATATACTGGTAGGAGTCGATCGATTCTCTCGTTTTCCGTCGACAAAATTAGTAACAAATAACAAGGCGGACACATTAACTCGGTTTACGCAAACACTCATTGCTAACCACGGGGGTCTCAAGAACCATTCGCTGTGATCAAGCACAGGGTTTTAGAGCGAAACAATTTATGTGTTATTGCAAAAACAATCATATAAAACTAATATTTGCACCAGTGGACGATCACCGCTCTATGGACATTGTGGAAAGATTGATAAGAACACTTAAAACGCGATCGTTGTTAAAAAATTGATAATAGGAATAAACCCTACAAAATGACTTCCGATGTGGCCGAACTCATTGAAATTTAAAGAATAACACCAAACGCTACTACAAAGATAACAACATTTGAAGCGCAATTTGGAAGAAAACCAAACACGCCGTTAAGAAATATTGCCACATCATTTAAATTGTCAATTTATATTGGGGAAACTCGAAAATTGCTTGTTAACATCAGAGATTACTCACAAAACCAGCCCTAACGGCAGAAGCGATGTGGAACCGTGAGGCCAATAGCGAAGACGAATTAGGTGTATTCTACCGCCAGCACCAACATTTTCCAGAGCCGACCGTCAATCTCGAACCAACATCCTCACGGCAAACAGAAGCGACAACCAGACCAACGGGTGATACAACAATAGTAGAATCAGGAAAGGAGAAGAAATCTACGACCACACTACAACACCAACCAGCCGGCGCTAACAGTTGGGCTACAAGTGACGACAAATTTGACCAACAACTAATGCAAAAATTTCTAATAGGTGCGCACTTAGTTTTATCTAACATCCCATATGATTTGGTAAGTGTGAAACGCAAGTTCTTAAAAGAAAAAACAAAAAACGATCTATCACAAATAAAAACAAGAAAACCAACCGTACTCTCGCATATCAGAAAAAAATATATCGAAAGGGCTCCACTAGTTTTGTTCCTCAAAAATAATTTTAACGGTCCGCAGACCACAATCAACCCAAAAATTGGACAAAAATCAAACAAGTAGCCTGTAAAACTGGTACCATTGCAGGGGTTTTTGGGGCACAATTTAAAATACTAGAAAATGGTTGTATTTTTAATTATTCACCCCCACATCCAGGGGTTTTCGGGCTACAATTTAAAAAACTATAAAATGGTTCTAATGTTAATAGTTCAACCCGCACAGCTTGGATTCGGGAGAACGGGAAATAACCACGGGTAATTAGACACGATGGTCTAGCCTTCGTACCAGATACACGCGTGTACGGAAAATGTAGAGCAGCAGCTCTAAAAAACTTTGTTGCGTATAAACATTTACCAAGCGCAAAACCTCGTGTTTCAGTATTGAAAGACAAGACACACGTGGAACAAATTGAAACATTGAAACAAGGACAACCTAACAGCAAAACAACCTCTATAAACATAGAAGCACAAGCCAACCCAAAAAGAGCGATAAACCAAGCAGAACCCGAAAATCTCCAAAAGAAAAAGA